AAGAGGAATATATTGCAAAGCATGAATCTGGCATTTAATCAGCCAAGGTAAATTAATTTCCAGTTCCATCATTCATTGTGAAATATAAATAACGTTTCTTAACCTGCTTTTATTTCAGTGTCTTCATTTATAAAAGACTATTATCTCGAAAATTGTGAATATTGAGATAGCATGCATAATTACTTAGAAATTTATGCAGCTTCTGCACACCACCCCTCACATCTGCTCTGCATCCTTTTTCCCTCTTCTGCATTCCAGAAAACTATTTTTTATGGGCTGTGTTCACAGTTTCCCCAGGCATAAGGCTTTTACTTCAGTTCAGTAGATAACAGGTATTAGAAAGAAACTGGAATACCAAGTAAAAGAGTACAAAGAAATAATCTCCTTAGCTCACATTCTTCAATATCTGCACCTCCTTTTGAATTGTTTCCAAAGTCATACAATGTTTACTCTTCTTTTTAAAGGATGCACAGCTCCACTAAAGCTAACCTAAAGAACTCATATCTTTCAGGTTTTACCTAGTATTGTAAAAGCTCAGCACCGTTTCTAGCCCAGAGGAATTGTACCATTATAAGATTTTGAAAGTGCCTGGGGCTGAGACAGGAAGCTCAGCGTCTTCAAAGTGGGAGTTCTTCAGAGTAGGAGGGAAAGGAAAGCCCCAAGGTAGGGGAGCAGGAGGACTCATGTCTAGAGGAGGAGGAAGAAGAAGGCTCTGGGGAGGAGGAGGAGTAAAAGGAGAAGGAAGGGATGTGGGTAGAGGAGAAGGAGGAAGAATACTCAGAGACCGACAGAGAGGGAGAAGAAAACTGACATGGAGGAGGAGCAGGAGGCAGAAGGAAGTACAGAAGGAATTGGGGTCTCAGTGTTGTGAGAGGAACTTGCCTGTAGTTGGGAGAAAGAAGGGTCAGTGCAGACACAGGAGAAACACAAGGTGGAGGAAGAGGAAACTGCTACTTCTGGAGGTCAAGGAATTGAGGTTCTCTGTCCCACTTCGCATCACAGCGCTCTCTCAAATATCACTAGAATGAAGTTCTGGTGAGCACAAAATGTGTTCATGGGCAAATCTGAGTGCTTTGTCACAGATCAAGTTTTTAAAGAAAACAGGAAAAAAGAGAAACAAGACTCTTCAGTTGAAAGAGCTGACATCTGAAGAAGCAGCCTTAATTCAGGAAACAGAAGAAAACTTCAGAAGAAATGTGGTTGGCATCTTCAAAGAGATACAAGAGGAGATGGAGCACATAAGAAAATGTTGCCCCAATGTCGAGGATATTAAGCATTTGGTAGATTACTTGCACTGCAGAGTAGCTTAGCAGTGGAAAGTGAGCCATCTGGACACCCAAGTGGAAGAGACATCCAAGGACACAGTGCAGATGTCAAGGCAGCTGCTGAATAACGAAAAACTTCGCATCTGAGAAGACGAATTCAGAAGCTCCAATGTCCGTGTGATCGGAGTTCCAGAAAAAGATAACAAAGAGAATGAGGCAGAAGATATAACCAGGGATTTAACTCAGGTCCTTGTGCTTGCCAGGGAAGTGCTTATTCTACTAAGGCATCTTCCCTACCCCTAATTAAAGACATCATTGAAGCAAACTTTTCGGAGCTGAGGAGGAGCTCAAGGTTTGAGGTCGTCAGTGCTCAGTGAGTCCCCAGCAAGGTGGTTGAGAGAAAACTCAGTCCTAGACACATCTTGGTGATGTTCTGGAGCCTCTGTGAGAGAGAGAAGATCCTGAAGGCCTCATGAGAGAGAGAAGTCACCTACAGGGGCAGGAGGATCCGGCTGATGGCAGACTTCCCACTGAGAACGTTAGACGCCCGGAGCCAATGGTGCGACATTGTAAGTCTTGAAGGAGAACGGCTTCCACCCGCTAATCCGGTACCCAGCCAGACTGACCTTTGATTTTGAGGGTCAAATAAGAACAGTTTTTAATATTGATGAATTCAGAATATTTTTCCATGTACCCTCTTTGAAAGGATTACTAGAGAACGTACTCTAGGGTCTAGATGGCTGCAGCAAGCAACAGTGTGCTTTCTCCACCAACACCCAGGAAGACACATCAAATGGAACAATGCATCTCTACCCTCAGGGTGGGCATTCGACAGCTCTGCTGGTGCAGCAAAGGGAACATTACTACCTGGACATTGTTAAAAGCTGTATTTTTAAATTTCATTGATGACCATCATAGCTGGTATAGAAGGTTTGTTTGTTAACAAGATAATGAACACATAGTTTTTGCTCTGAGCTATGTTTTTAGCCCTTGAGAAAAATTTCTAGACAGGTCTCACCAAGTTTCCCAGCCTGGGTCTCACGTGTGATCTCCTGCCGCAGCCTCCTTAGCTGGGATCCAGCTCAGGAGGAGGGAGTGTCACCACAGGAATCTTCACAATAAAGATATTTCATTTGAAAAAAACATTAAAAAATAAAATAAAATTTCTATTAGAATGTTTTTGTGGTGTGCAATGATTATATCTTTGTAGGAGTTTGTATATGTACATACACAGTTAAATTTTTCTTTATCTCCTTTGTCTCCTCTCTTTTTCCTCCTTCTATCTCTTGGTCAACTTTCCTGATCCCTATGATCTATCTTTTATTTTGTAATTTCATTCATTTATATTTTGTATTCTCATTTAAGAGAAAGTATGTAATAGTTAACCTTGTGTGTCTGATCTTTTTCACTTAACATTAAAGTCTCAAAGTGCATACATTTTCCAACAAATTGATCCTTCTTTCTGGCAGATAATTGTACTATTATGTGATTTTTGCTTAAAGGGTATTCATATCTTTGTATATAACTTATGTTCCATAGCATTAGAAAATGTATACAATCAATCATATAACATATGCAATATGTATATAAATATATATTTAGGTGAAGCACTAGTGTTTTGCATAAGTATATTAATTGTATTGATTAAGATATTGCACATAATCTGGAGATGATTTTAAAGATACAGAAGAATGTGAATATGCTATAAACAAATACTGCAGAATTTTATATTATTGACTTATTCATTTTTTCATTTTGGTATCCATGAGGGGCCCTGAACTTGTCACTTGTAGACACCACAAAAAAGAACTGTGTATTTTTAAAAATGACTATTTTAAGAAATAATTGGTATTACAGCATATTTACTTGATCCAAATCAATTTGAACTGTCAAATATTCCTGAGAGTTACTAGATAAACACAAAGCCAGAAAGTTCAATGCACCATGGGCAGAAATATGAAATAGTTATTTCATAAAATAATGTTTCAAACACAGGAAATATGTCCTCACTGCTGAGCCACAAAGCAAAGACAGTTCGTATCGTCCATAAATAAATGTTCCACAATTCCATCATATAGAAATACATCAGAAAAGTTTATACAGTTCAATTTTGCTTCAGCTAATACTAAGTAATATTCTGGTCTAATTCCCCTGGTATTTCATCCTTGTTTAAATAAAGTCTCTTCTTGTTAGTCATTTCATACTTGTGTGTAGCAGAGCTGTTTAGACTTCACTTTAAAAATTAGACCATGTTACTTACATTTTTAATGAATAACAAATATAAGGTATCATTCAATACTGTGGATACTTTAAAACAATAATATCTCAGATGAGAATATAAATAGGTTCTAAAGCAAGATAGCTTCTTAAATGTTGTATCTGAAAACTTATTCTGCCTCTCAACACTGATCTGATGATAGTAATTTCATAAGCCTGATTGAAAAACTAATATGAATTTTTTTAAAATTCCATTACTTGCTTTTAGCTCTACAACATAGTACATAAACTAGAATTATTTCCTTGTCAAAGATACCATTTCCTATTTTCAGTTTTTCTCTAATTTCCACTCTAAAAATCATTCTGCATACTTAATATCATGGCAGGAGTGCTTGTGAGCAACCCATCATCCACACTGAGTCACAAGTCCTTGCCCTTCTACCTTTTCCCATCTTACAGCCTCAAACTTTAAAAGATCTCAAACTTTACAAAGCAATTCACTGGTACAGAAGACATTTTCTGAAAACTACAAGATTCTTCTATAAACACCATCATTTAAATAATATACTTAATAAATGTCAACATTTAGTACTCTAGATAATATTTTCAACCTACTTTTCTTTGTTCCAGCAGCAAATTATTCAAAAAATAAAGTAATCAATGAAATCCACTACATTTTACTTACCTAGCTTGAACAAATTCTCATCAGTGAAAGATTATATATATATATATATATAGTTGTGAAATGGTTTGGCATGGATTTTGAAAAGTTCAAGAACTGTTAATGCTTTATTTTTTTGGGGGGGTCTCAATTTTTGACAAATTTTCATGCTTATATCTGGTAAGCTGGACAACTAATTTTCAGACAACAATATACAATAAAGCAATCATCATTGAATTCCTATCATTTTGTTGATTGAAAGTCCATATCTTTTTAAACTTTTTTTAAATGACTACAGCCATATCATCCTGAACTAACTCAATTTCATATAATTTCTTTCATTATTTTTTATTCTCTATAAAAAGTCCAAACACAAAAGAGGAAGGTGGAATAAAATTGAAAAAAATCGCACTTTATACTTCAGAATAACAACTCTTAGCCATGTAGTCAGTGTTTACTGTAGTCAATGTAGCCAGAAATCTTATGATGAACATGATTAAAACCATCAGTGCATCAACACACTCACTATTAGTGACTGATTAAGGAAGGTATCCACAACTGGAATGTCTGGATCATTGTACATACATTTAAAATTTTAAGGATTTTTACCAATGTCTGCCATACTACTTGTCAGAACATGAATCCACAGTGGATGAAAGCATGGTTTCACTTCCCTGCCCACATTGATAATCTTTAAAAATTTGTCACTCTATGACAAACATAGGTGTATATTTCTGTTTTTTTTTCAAAATTCAAGAATGTAATATCAATACACATAGGTGAATCTATGCAATACAGTGACAACAAATTAATTTATTTAGTATTTTTTCCATTCCATAGTATCAAGAGGGTTGATTTCAACTTTTGTTTTTACCTACATTAGACCAGTTGGTACTCAAAACTGTACCACCAGATTCCATAAATGATTCGTTCATGGCAAGTTTGACTTCATCAGAGCCATCTAAATAGATCTGCTGAAATAACTTCTTTAAAGCTGCATCTCCCTCCAACTTCTTGTTCTTCTCTTTTCCTTTGATCTCACCAACCAATTTATCCCAATTTCTTGTATAATGAGGTGAAGATGGATATAGGTTCTTTACACCTGCTAGGAACTGTCTGAATGTGGACACATCTTGCCCCTCTGGCTTTTCCCATCTCACAGTCTCTGCCTCTTTCATTTTAATTTCAATCTGATGTGTTAAGTGCTTCACGTATGTTATCTTAATAGAATCAACATTTATAGAAAGTACTTTAAATGTACGCTGTTCTGGTATTATAGGATTAAGCAGTCTCAGTTTCAGATTGTAATCCTCTCCAGAAGGAAGTTTCACCAAAGCAAACAACTCTTTTTCTGAAAATTCCACATTTACTTCATTTTTCTGAACATTCTTAATCATAAGTGTTACAGTTACTTGAGATTCTGTTTGGTACCACTCATACTTAATTTTTGACAGTGTTATCACCTCAGACTCTGATCCATACTCACCATTCTGTGCCTCTTGACATCTTTTAATCCAGACAATAAAATTGGCATCAGCACCGTCTAACTTTTGTCCTTCTGTAAAAGTTTCTAGAGCAGTAGCATAGTTTTTTTCATGGTATTCACATATCCCTTCTCTCAGCATAGCAGTGGTATTATTAGTTGAGTTTTAAGGAAGTTTTTGCATCAGCAACACCACCACAGTAATTTCCAAGGAGAATGTGACAGTAAGCTCTTTGACAATAATACTGTGCATCATCTGGTTTCTGTTCCAAAGTTTTAGTCAGCTCCTTATCTGAGCCTCTGATTTTCTGTTCAATCTTATCTCCCACTCCACTTTCAAGCCACTTTTAATCAAATGGGTCTTTTTGCAGCTTCTACTATAAACCAACTTCATTTCAACCTCAGGATCCTTGTATTAGCTCTTTTTATTTCCAATCTAGGTCTCTCATTCAGGTCTTCTTTCCAATTAACGCCCCTTTGAGAGAAGCCTTGTGTATTTCCTCTGTAAGTTATACCTCTAATGCCACCTGGGGGTCCTCATCAATCAGACTATCTGAGAAGGTCTGGGAAAACCACTGGGTTATTGCAGGTCCTGCAGCAGGCACCCTATCCCCAATCTACAGTTGTAGAGGCCTGAGAAACAGCCACCACAGTTACCCTATTTCTGCTTTTACTTGTAATCTTGAACATCTTTCCAGAAGACTGCTGGTCCATTAAGAATTTGGATGCCTTTTTGATCATTTTCCCCAACAACTGTAACCATTTGTTCTTATGGCATTAAATTCAATTATACTATTTTTCTTAGTGTAATTGAATATTATATTCTAAAGTTATAAAAGTATATAATAGAGCTATGATATCCATATATTATAACTATATTAGTAATGTTGCAAAATACTTTTTTCAAATTTCCAAGTAATTTTTAAATTGCTTTTCGCTTTGATCAGACAAAATTTTCCCTGTACATTGTAGTATTTAGGATTTTAACCCCTTCCCATAGGTATGGTTTGCCAACATATAATTTCTCCCATTTCATAAGTATTCATTAACTTTGCAGGTAGTTTCTTTGAATCAAACTTTTTAAGTGATATTGTCTTATTTGTTTATATTTGCTTTTTGTTGCTTGCAAATTTGGTGGCATGTCCAAAAGATAATTGTCAAAATAAAAATTCAGAATTTTTTCTCACTTCCACGTTTTTCTAGGAATCTTACAGTTTCATAAATTACATTAAAATTTTTAGGGCCTACCAAATAGCTCAGCGGATTAAAGCACTTGCAAGCAGGTGCAGGGGCCTGGGGCTCAATTCTTGGGCCTTCCATGCCATCCCTGTCCCTGAGGCACCCTGAGATAGCAATTGAGACTGGGTGTGGTGGCACGTGCCTGTAATCCTAGCTCTTGGGAGGCTGTACACAGGTGGATCACTACTAGTCTGATCTAGTAGTGAGACCTTGAGCACCCTGTAGAACCTTCCTTAAAAATACAAAAAAAAAAAAAAAAAAAAAAAAAAAAAAAAAAAAAAAAAAAAAGAAACCTGGTTGCTTATATATTCAGAGTTTTTTTAAAAATCATTTTGGCCTATATTTAAATGATTTATGTTATCTTAGAAAATAAACGTATTTATCTATCATTCATTTCTCATATCCTTTTTTACTGTTTTAGCCTATGTCTCTCCCTACCTCTCCCCACCACCTTTCATCTCTGTTCTCAAAATACATCTAGAATTATCTATTCTATTAATGTTCTCAAATAAGAAACTTTTAAAATTAATTAACTACAATAAATTCAAATAAGTCAAAAATGTTTATCTTTCCATGATTTTTTTCATTTTGATTTATATCTATATATCTACATCTATCTATCTATCTATCTATCTATCTATCTATCTATCTATCTATCTATCTAGAATACATTTTAATGCATTTTTAGGCCTAAAAAGTACATATATCTGAAACAATGTGTTCTTCTCTGAATTTTTCTTCTGTTTACTCCAGAGTTTTCTGATGAATTATCATAATTATCTGCATTTTCATACTGCTTATAATTTCTCTTGCAAATAGTATTAAGTATGTTACTCACATCATTGCTATGATTAAAATCATAAACTATAATTTAGAGTTCAGAGCCATCTTAATTTATTTTTTATTTTTACTGTAGAGCATTCAATCAATTGAAACTTTTATTTTAAATCAAGAAAATAAACAATAGTAAATCAGAGTTTCTAAACAGATGTGTAGGAGAGTTACAACAATAAATACATTGTGTACCATGAAACTTATACAGAATTTCCTTTTTATTCCTAATTTTCTCCATGGTTTGTAGTTATTTACATAGAATACAGTTTTCAGAATACATTTGACAATGCTGTTGACCAGTGAAATACCTCAGGGATTAAGCTCCTGTTTAGGCAGGAACAGGGACCAAGGATCCATCCCTGGCACCACATGCCACTGGCCCTGGCCCCAGGCCCACTGAGCCAGCCTTAGAGACCTGGTGTGGTAGTGCACACATGTAATCTCAGTGCTGGGGAGGCTGAAAACAGGAGGATCAGTACAAGTCAGAGCTGCATAGTGAGACCCTGCAAAAAATACAAAATAAAGTAAGACAATGTTGTATTCTAAGTAGTCTTGTGTACTATTGGTAGTACTTAAATCTCATAGTACTTAAATCTTTATGACAAACTAGTTTTGGCTACTGTGCTTTCATATTTAAATACACACTGATGTTTTACAAATGGTAGACTGGCTCATTTCTCCTTAAAATTAATTTGCTTAATTTGCCTTAATTTTTCTCAAAGCAGATTATTAGTGACAAAATGATTCAAAATTACTGAATTTCCTTGGACTGGAATTTTTTTCAATCTTAAATAAATTATTATGTCTACTTAATCCATTAACCATGAATTCTATCTGGTTTGGGATCCTATTGCCTT